TTTTCATAGCATTTCTAGACTACAAAACCCTTTGATGCATACTGCTTATTCCTTAGGCAATACTCAAGTGGAAAGTATTTCTCAACAAATATTTTTAGTGTAAAAGAAATAACATTTACCTGACTTAGTAAGTTAATTTCCTCTTTATCTCCAATACACTGAGACACATTTACAACAATTTCTCTAGAATTCTGAACTTGCTCTTGAAGATTTAATTTTATATCACTCCAGGAATTGCTGGTAATTATAGATACATTTTAATATTTTCTTTGCCTTTAAGATAAAAATAATAAAACTGACTAATTCAAGTGATGCAACTCTCACCCCTGACTACTGTCCCAATGAAAAGGAAAAATTAAATTGTTTTTGGATTAATTACACATCTAATACCACCAGAGCATGGCTGATGAGTCGACTTGGATGCCCATACTGAAGTAGTCTCCATTACCAACATGACTTCCCAGGAGAACAGTACAATGTGCAAACATGGAATTCAAAAATGATTGTGGAGAAGCCACTATCCATTTCTCTTTCTCAAGCACAACAGACCAGTCAGAATTAATATTATCAAGCACGTGTTTGCTCTAACACTTTTATTTTCATTCTCCTTTAAAAGTGCTTAGGCAGTGCTTACTGGCAGCGATAAAGTTCTCTGCAATTTACTACACTGCCAAAAAGAAGGAGTGTATTTGTATAAGCTTATCAGTAACAGACATTCTCTGTTCAACAGGATATCACCAACTTGGCAGAAAGAACACACTGTCACCTTTTTCAATAAAATAGATTTATCCTACTGAGGAGAAGAAGGTCAAAGTAGAGAGAAAATGCTTTATTGCTATTGTTTTTAAAGCAATATAGTTACATCCGAAGCATCTGAAAGAAACGTTGAGGAAAGTAACTAAAGAAGCTTATGTATTCTTGGAAGAAGGTCATTGTTTCTACAGTCAGCTGAAGTCCTTGCTGATATTTTTTTTTCTTTTTTTTGGTACCTGGGATCGAACTCAATGAGGCAGGTGCTGGAACCACTGAGCTAAATCCGTACCTCTTGCTAATATTTAAAACATCACGTTGTATGATGCTGCTCTGGGAGGCAGTCCTCTCATCAAACTTCCACCTGTTATGTGGCAGAGAGAATCAACCCTAGCCTCATCCCTACTAGGAACAAACTATATTTTACTTGCCCAAGTATAGATTTGAACCACAATAATCTATAATTCTTTTTTAATTCTATGAATTATAAATTCAGTAAAGAAAATAATTTCTCGGTATGGAAGAGATAAATATCCCTACTTTCAATAATTCTAAATATTATTTTTAAGTTTATAATTTTTGATACGAATGTATTCTGGTACTTGGAAAGGCAAAAGGAATGCTTCTGTTCAAATATTTTCAACCTAATAATAATATTGTATTTTCATGAATCTAATAACTGTTTTGTAGTTTAGTCTAGTAATGATTACTAATATTTATGATATAGTTCATGTATATTATTTCCCCTGATCTCAGCGTTCTAGTACGCATTCTAGTATTCAATCAACAGCTGTACCACCACTAGCAGAAAGCAGTCACACTCTCATCAAGCATTCCGTCACATTTATATGCCCCTTTCTTGGGAATCCTTCTTAATGGCCTGGCCACTGATGCATCTGTCTTTCCATCTCAAGTCTTAGCTACAATTTCAAGTTTATTTAAGTTACTAGACAATAGTAAACATAATTTAAATTTTATAACTTTAATCAAAACTTACAGGAGCACAAAATATAGTAATGTATTTCATTATTTAAAAGAGAAAGTTAGCATAAACAAATATTTTGATTACATGATTATATAAAATGATATCACTGTTAGGATTATTTGTGGTCACATGTAAAATAGATGTTTTATATCTTTATATGGTTATATAATCTATATAATATATATTTTCATATCCACATGTTATGCGCTGTTATATGTAGGCACATGCTACATATAAGGGTTTACATTCAAAATTTGAGTAGACCACTCATTTTATGCAAAAATAAATATACTACTGTTTAAAATTATATTTAATATCCTTAAAACATGAAAATGTGTTTATCAATACAGTCATTTATCCTAAAATTACATCTTTTTCAGACTCTTTACCATTATATCATATAAACTTTATATACAGTATGGGCACTGAGTTGAATCAAATCAAGCTATAATTATTATGTGCATAGCTTTTAAATTGAAATAATTTAATTTTTAGACATTCTCAGAACAAGTTCTGATATTTTTTCATTTTGATATTATTATTCTGAAGAACATAATTTTCTTTTGGAGAATAAAATACCTCATTTTAGATTTAAGATATATAACAATAAGACTGATCAGAAGAAAATCAGAGAAGCTAAGTCAATCAAGGAAAATATACAATATTTATATGTCTTTAAATGGTGTCTGTAAATGTTATTACATCCGATATGAGTCTGTATTATATGGTTAAATTTAGCATTGTATTGAGATACAATTATAATTACTTATTTTAAATAATATATACATGTATCTCCAAGTCTTCTGATAGCTGACAATGGCTTAGGTTGAAAAAGAAAGTAAATAAAATAAGTAAAATCTTAGACTGAGAGTAACTTGTTCTAGTATTCTGCAAGATGAAATCATTTCTAATAAATTTTGACTGATTTACAAGCAATCTCTTGCAGTATGAGTAGTACATGACGTCAGATGTCTCATGGTCACAACTGAGACAGTGATTCTCTCCCTCTTTCACTGTGGCATTGTGGATGATCATCTCCTCATAGAAAAAAGGTTATAGGGGAGATCTCATCTGGAGGGAAAGAGGAGAATCTCTCACTTCAAATGGGATGAAGGGGATGTGTAAAATGTGGGAAATTACAAAATTTTGTAGAAAAGTACCACCACTTGTTTCCAAGATTTAGGTATTACAAACTATGCTTCTATAAACATGGGTGTGTATATATCACAGTGGTTTGATGCTTTTAATTCTTTCAGGAAGATACCAACAGGTGGAATATCTGGGTCAAATGGAACCTCTAGTTTTAACTTTTTGAGGAATCCCCACAATATTTCAACAATTGTTGCACCAGTCTACACTCTCATCCACAGTGGATGAGAGTCTACACTCTCATCCCACAGCCCTACTAGCATTTGTTATTGGTCAATTTTTATTGGTCATTTGTTATTGGTCAATTTTTGATAACAGCCATTCTTTCTTGGGTGAGAAGGGATCTTAGTGTTGTTTTAATTTGCATCTCTCAAATGACGAGTGATGTGGAACATTTTTTCATGTATTTATTTGCTGTTTCTACTTTATCTGAAAAGTGTCTATCCATTTAAGATGGCCAGTTTTGGATTTGGATTGGATCTTTATATTTGGAAGTCTGATTTTCTTTTGAGTGCTTTAAATATTCTAGATATTAGTCCTTTGTCTGAAGAACAGCTGGAAAAATTTCTTCCAACTCTGTGGGTTGTCTCTTCATTCTGTTGGTGTTTTTTTTTTCTTTTCCCTTAATAAGTTGAGGCCCCAGTTGATGATTTTTTGTATTATTTTCTGTGTTATCTTAGCTTTGTGCATAAAGTCTTTGTCTACATCTATGTCTTCAGAAGTTCTACCTATTGTATCTTCCAGTAGACTTAGTGTTTCTGTTTTAATATTTAGATTTTGATCCATTTTGATTCTAGTGTAGTGCATGGTGAGAGATATGGGTCTAGTTTTAATCTTTGGCATGTGTGATGCCAGTTTTTCCAGCACCATTTATAAAAGAAGCCATCTTTATTCCAGTGAAGGCATTTGCCTGTTTGTCAAAAAAAGGTGGTTGAGTCTGTTTGGAGTTGCTTCTGCATCTTCTAATTTGTTCAACTGAATGCCTATTAACTGATGAAAGTATAAAGAATTTTGTATACAATGCAGTACTACTCTGCTTTGAAGAGGGATAAACTTGAGATAGTTTTAGATAAATGGATGCACCATGAAATAAAGTGGACACACATGATCAAATATCACATGTTTTCTCTTGTGAGAGCAACTGAAAAGGTCAATAAGGACCGAAACGTATAACAGATATAGGGAAATAGGTAGAACATGTTCAAATGCAAAGGGAAACTAAGGAGGAGAGAGAGGGAAAGGAAGGAAGTGAAAAGAAAAAAAAGAGAATAAAAGGAAAAAATGGAAACAAAAGTTTTGTTAATAAAGAGGGGAAGGCGAGTTGAAGGGAGGGGAGGGGAATGGGAAAAAAAGTATCAAGACATATCTTGTACAGGTACAAATTCCCTGTGATGAATGTTATCATTATGTATATCTAAAACGTACCAATAAAATTAATTTTAAAACAAAAGTAGCCCCTGAATAAATCTGTAGTAGTGGTAGAGATTAATCTTTTATTAACAATGCGATATCACATTTCCATGAAATCCTCAAAAGGAGGCAATTCCAAGTGTAACTGGATAAGTTCGTTGTTAAAGTTGCATGAAAAGAAAAAAATTCCACTGGACCAATAGATAGCAGTGATTCCATTAGTGATAGTGAAAGTCACCCAACAAAATAATCCTCTCATCACCCTCATACCAGCCAGGAAGGTTTTCAAAGGTAAGTGTGGTTAATTTGTTTATTTTTCTTTATATCTTGTGTTTTCTTTGTATTACAGTATTGTAATCATTTTTATGAATATTTTCGGTTGTGGAATGATTCATCTGTGTTTCCATTATTTTTCGTGGGGAAATTTGCTTTAATATACAAGTGCTTTGGATCACAAGCATGTCTCTGGAATGAATTATGCTAGCTAACCAAGATTTTATTATACATATAATGTACTTACTTTTATTGAGTGGTGCATGACTATTTGCAATACTAAGAGAAGCTGAATGGTTGCTTGGTTTACTTTTTTTTTGGAAGCTATCAACATTGATATAAATTTAAACACATACTAGAAAACATTTTGTAATGGAAATATTGTTATATTCTATTATACTTAGAAAATTAGATAATTGGTAGAGTGTTTTACCTGAAAGATACCCGGTGAATGACAGAAACAAAATGAGTCTCCAAGAAGAAGCCATCCTTGGTCACTGAAATTTTCTTTGTCCCCAGGTATTTATTACCACTGGTATTTCTTCATAAAGAGAACCCTGTTAAGGTAGACAATAGTTTTCAAAAACAGATAAAATAAAGAAAAATATAAACAAATATAAAAATTTGTTAAAAACATGGTAAGTAACCTTAGTTTAAAGGTCAAGTTGATATACACTTGGATACTCACAACAATAAAATAGTTTCCATTACATTTCAATTAATGTACAACACTAAAACTTTAGAGAAGTGATGGTTTCTTTATTACATTTATTTATATTGGATATTCCTGTACAGATAGTAAAAACATCAGGATCTACTGGTGATGATTTTTCATCACAGGAAATGTGTAATAGTTATATTTATTATATTAGACAAATTATTGGGCTAGAAAAGTAGAGTGGAGCTGGTTACATTAATATATACTCCTTTGGTCTAGAATATAATTTATGATCAGTTAGCTAAATGATCTCACACACTGTGTCTGTAGCTCGTAGAAACCTCCATGGGAACTTTTTTCTCACTTAATTATTAATGTCAACTGCCTTTGTTTATAACTCCTGTGATTATCTGTGCTGTATTACAGTTTGGTCCTTGGGTAAGTTATTTCTCTCAGCATCTTTTGCTAGCCCAAACCTATGGGAAATAGTATTTTCATGAATATTTAATGTTTTTATCCAATGCCATTTTATAATAATAATCAGTATATTACATTAAATCTTTCCTTTTTACCTGAAAGATAAACATGAAAAGAATACAGCATTCTAACACTAAACTTCCTGCAAGAACTTGACAAATACACTGAAAATTCCTAACCTACACAAGGAACTTCAGAGTTTCAGCTGTCAGCTTTGATTTTCTTGGCCAAACATGTTTCAGTTGAAAAAATAATTGTAGGGCTGGGGATTCAGCTCAGCGGCACCACACCTGCCTTGCAAGAGCAGCGTCCTGAGTTCGATCCCTAGTACCAAAAAAAATAAATAAATAAATAACAATAATTGTATAGTGTGTCAATGATTTTTACAAAATAATTACTTTTTTCATGTTATTTTTCTTTATCATGTAGGCCCAGCTAACTCTATTAGGAAATGCTTAAAAGTATAGACAGTTTTTTATAAATAGTTTATAATTTAATATAGTCATACCAAAGGAGGGAATCTCTAATTACTATTCCTAGCTGAATTAACCTAGTTCCATTTTATTTATATTTTAACATATAAGTCTTTCTAGATTATTTTAATTTAATGGTTAGTGATTGCTAATACAGAAGAACAGTAAGAGTTAACATTGGCTGATTTATATAAACTTCTCATCAAAAAACCATTCAACTGTCTTTTGTTCTGTGTAAATATTAGTAAAAACATAATTTGAAGCAAAAAAAATGTGATCTCATAGCTATTTTTTTCAGTTTAAAACATTTTTATTATTTATATGCTGCTTTGTACCAGAAAGGAAAAGAAGAAAATCAATACATCTCGTACAATTGAAGACACTTGAAGTTGCTCAACTACACTTCCACCTTAGCAATTTAGCTAATCACTGCACCTAAAAAATGACTGACTGACTGACTGAATGAATGAATGATTTTAAATAAATAAGACTGGGTCTGTAGCTCAGTGCAAAGGCTTTGGGTTCTATTCTCAATACTAAAAAAAAAGAAAGAAAAAGATTGACAGAGAGTGAAAGGATGGTAGTAAGTGAAGAGGCTAGAGGGGTGACTTTAGCAGGCATTCAGGCAAAGCATTTCTGATAAAATGTCATGTAGGTCAGTATGAAATAATATCTATACATTTAAGGCTTTTTTTCTATTGTCAAATATCAAATATAAATGATGGTACATTAAATTTGATTATTAAAATAATCCATTTTAAGTTAAATAGTCTTCTAAGAGAAAATTTTGTGTGCATTTGTATTAATTTTCAAGGAAAAATAGTCAGTAGTTACTAAGGCACACACACGTGCACACACACAACTAACCCTTAAAAAGCCATCTGCTATATTTTGAATCTGACATCTTCCAAAGGCCCATTTGTTTCTTTGTTTTGTGGCTGCCATGAGATAAGCAGCCTTGCTTCATCACATGCTTCTTGCCATGATTCACCATCTCCCCATAGGACCAAAAGCAATGGGCAAACTGGCAACAAATTGAAAGCTCATATCCATGGCCCCAAAAGCACATCCCTTCCTATAAATTGATTAGTTTAGGTATTTTGTCACAGGAAAAGAAAAATGACCTTCTCTTTATGGTATGTAAATCTCATTTTTCCTTGTCTTTACTTCCTAATTCTTCTCTCTTTCTTTTCTAGGCAAAATTAAAAGTTTATGTAAAAAATAAATAAATAAAATAAAATAAAAGTATATGTAATAACCTCTAAGATTCCAAATATATAAACTTTTATGTGCTTTTCTTGAAAACAGCTATTTTATGACTTTAGTAAAATTACTATATCAAATTAATAACATAAAGGTAGTTCATCACACATTTATTAAGTTCCTACTGTATTCCAGATTAAATTATAATCACTGAATGTCATTAAGCAAATCAGAAGAATATGTACATAGAAGTGCCTTTACAGAGACTAACAGTTACACACTACATTGCTATGCATTGAGAGGTTTAAGAGCCAGAAATACTAACTTGGAAACTACTAATCACAAACATTTTTAAAAGCCACAGTTTAAAAACTCATTTTAAATGTTTAAAATATATATCTATCATTACTATTGATACTTAAATACCAGTATGTGAAATATTTCTTTAAATTTTCTTAGAATTGTTACAAATATTTGCAAACAAAGCATAGTAAGTGATCATTGTGTTAAACTTCAGCCACAAAGCATAAAGAATAAATGTATTTTGAGCCTGACTACATAGACAAGTACTTAAAAATATTGTAATTTGGGACTGAGGGTGTAACTACATGGTAGAAGACTTCCTTAGTGTGCATGAAGCCCCGGGTTCAATACTCAGCACTACAAACATACAAACAACAACAACAAAAAATCACAAGTTTATAGGACTAAGGATAGATTATATAAATTAAATAATGTGATACCATATTGCCACTTGCTTATAAGTTAGGCTTTCTTCTCAAGATGCATATGAGAATGTACCTTGTTATTGGTGTACATGCAAATTTAGAGAGACGGAGAGAGAGTGAGAGAGAGAGAGAGCGCGCAAAGGTAGAGGTTTCTACTTTTGATCTTTGTCCAGGTCAATACAGTTCTGTCCCATATACCCTCACTCAACAGTCAGAATTATATTTTAAAACATAGGTCAGGCTACATAAGCAGTGTTTTATGCTTAGAATAAAATCCAAAATCCTTATTTAGTTTACAGTCCTGATGTAGTCATATACAATCTAGTACCTGCCTTTCTGATTTTATTTTTTAGCTGTCAGCACAACACTGATTTTGCTTCTTCAAAATATGTCAAGCACTCCCATGTCCTCTGTCTGGACCCCTCCAACATCAAAGATTTTCCCAGTTATAGCTTTAAAGCAATGAAGATTATCTCTCTGCCCCTAATTTTCTTCTTATTTCTCTACATTATTTTACATCTTAGCAATGTTCACTACCTAAGTTTGTATCATTAGTCCATTTCTTTTTAATTATCTTTTCCTCCTATTTGAATTCATAACTATGAAAGTAAGAATTTTTTGTCTTGTTCATCTTCAGAGACCAGGAAATCCAGAAGAATAATCAACATTTAGTAGGTGTTCAATTAAGGGAATTTCGTAATAATAATTCAATAAATTGTAACCATAGAAATCAAATTATCTGAGAGTACAAGAAGAAAAAAGTCTTTTACATTTCTATAATATTAGTAACGTAATGTTAAGCATGTTACTTGTACAACTTTTCGTAGAAATCTTATCGATAAAGATGATTTGTCCAATGTCATACAACTAATGAAGGAAATACTGTAATATAAAATTTATTGACATTTAAGCTATATCATCTCACACAGGATTCTGAGAAATCCCTCCCAGAGTTTCTAGAGGGACTTTTATCTCAAGCAACTGGGACTGGTATCAAGTTAATAAAAAAGTCATTAAAATAATTCACATATGCATATATTAAATATTGTCATCTGGATAGAGAAAATTCACTCTTAATTCTTTGGTCAATATTATAAGAATGAGAATGTATTATTTTTCTGATTATGAAGAATCTGATGGAAAAATCCTTTCTTTTGTTGGACATCATATGAATCCTTAATATATAAATTATGCCTATAATACACCATATACAACTTTAAATTTCTTTTAAGTGGTGCAAAAACATAGGAAACTAACTGATTACAGGATCCTTGGAGGGTTTTACTACTTTTATACTCTTGTCTCACATCCACCTAAGATTATAACATTTTCTAAGTCAGTCTTACTGAGTTTGTACATAAGACTCAGCTTTTTGTTTCCCTATGCTAAACAATCTCGCTCTTGGTACCCCTTATGTATCTGTGATTTTCAAAATCTTTATTTTAAATTACATAATTAGAACTATATGGAAAACCTACATAAATGCCATGAGACAAAAACCAGCTGAATCTTGGTAAACATTCAACTTACAAATTGACAAGTAAACTAGAGATCAACCTACTTAAGGATGATCTTCTCACTTGTTCTGAGTTATTTTTATCTTTGAGAGTAATTAAATAATTTTTTCTATTCTGGTAAATTATAACAGTGAGAATTAAAATTGTTTCTTTCTATTTGGATGGACTAGGGCTACAAAATGTAAATTTTAATAAAGGAAAGAAGGGAATGGAATTAATATGATAAAAAGAAAAAATGGAAACAAAGTCTTTGTAAATAGGGAGGGGTGGAGAGGTTGAAGGGAGGGCAGGGGAATAGGGAAAAAATAAAAACCAAGAGAAATTATGTAAAGGTACAAATTTCCAATGATGAATGTCATTATATTGTATACCTAAAATGTACCAATAAAATTAATTTTAAAAAAGGAAATAAAATTGTGAAATATCTCTTTTTCTGTAGACTTTTCATTCTATCCCAAAATGACTTCTTCATAATATTGGAGCTAGTGGCACTTTTACTTG